ATATATATATATATATATATATATATATATATATATATATATATATTTTGCATAATTTAATCCTAACTTTAGTAACTTAATTCAAATTTATCTTAACCTTTAATTAAGTTAGATTTTGTTTATGTCACTTTTAACAATTGCATCTGTTTTTCTTAATAAATCATCCAATACAGGTTTATATTTATCTTAAACATATGTCCTTACTAAGTCTTCAATGTTTTTTTGAATTTGACTATCCGAATATTATTTGGATAGTAAATAAATGTGACGTTTTTACACATGTAAACGTGTAAAAATTACACATTTGGATTTGTAGCGTACTAACTATACATAAAAAAAGTATCATCTAAAAGAAATATGGCAGACACTCAGATTATGACTTCAGAGTTTTATATCTTTTTTTTCCTTTCATTTCACGTGGTTGTGACAACGCAGACATTTGTTCAGAATTATAAAAACTACAACATATTTCAGAACGGAGCAATTTATCACATTTCCGTAATATAAAGTCCTTTGACAATCAATATATCAACATTTTTTAACTGCAACTTGACGATCTAACCTGAGATAATCGTGTCTATTTGAATTTAAATAATAATTACTTTTGATAATTTTGTTTTTAAAATGATAAATTTGTTTATTTATCCGTTTGTTTTCCCTGTACGTAACTTAGAACATTGAAAAATTGTGTCGCCAAATTTTGATAGACAACCGTGACGTCGATTTTCAACGGATTCTCTGGAGGCCATCTCCAACTGCTTCCATCGCTGAATATCGACTCCTTACCGTCACTTATGGTACGACATCGACTCCATTCGTCGCCCTACGAGTTCTAAAGTTAACTTATTCAGTCCTGTGAAAAGAAATACGAGGGAATGAGAATGTGTGTTCGACAGGTATCACAGATCGCCGCATAATGCTGGAGGATCGCACGCAGTGGCTCACATCCGACGTTGACAACTGTTCCTGTTGCTGTGAGCAACAGAACGGCGATCAGTGGCCGGAGGACGCCGAAAAGTGGCAGAAATCGTCGCGCGCGAGAAGATTTCTGAGAGCCATTGGCAACTGCTGCATCTGCACGCTGCGCTGCGTGAGACGATGGATCAAGAAGCTCGTGGAGCACAAGTACTTCCAGCAGGGTATTCTACTGGCGATCCTCATTAACACCTTGAGCATGGGAATCGAGTATCACAATCAGGTGATTCTCCACTGGATCATAACCGATCACATTTCGCACAGATCGTACGGTGTAGTATAATTAATGTGTGTCACTTCGCTTTCACTTGCGGCTCTTTAAAGCCTAATCTATCAATGTGCTCTTTGCGTTTTGTTTCTTGTTTTCTGTCTTTTTCTGGCTTAAAGCTTAAGGCTTGAGTTAGAAGAAGAGTTAAAGACAAAGAAGCAAGTAGCAAAAAATACATTGTAGATCAAGCTTAATCCTTTCAAGACGGAAGACATATTTTATTGCTTTACGGCCTTCATGCATATATTTTAGAAACTATCGATCCGATATTCACAAAAATTGGTATGTTTTGGGGGTTTTTTGGGGTACTCTTCCCCAATTTGAAGTCAAAAATGTAAAATTCAAAATGGCGGATCAAGTTTGGTGATTTTCAAAATGCCAACCCGAGAAAAAAAGTTCAGACGAAAGCCAGATATGAATTTTGTCAAGATCTGATCAGATATAATCAGATATTATGCTATATATGATTCAAATCTGTCTACATATAATAATATATAATCATATATACAAATATATATTTGATTATATATGATTATATATAGACAGATCTGAATCATATATAACGTTATATATAACGTTATATCTGATTATATCTGATCAGATCTTGACAAAATCCATATCTGGCTTTTATCTGAACTTTTTTTTCCCAGGAAATTACGTAAATATAACTCAATTTGCGTGGAACTTCATACTCTCTAAATTTGAATTAGTGAAAATCTTGACTGATTTCCAGTTTCGCTCTTCTTGAAGCTCATCACAGTACCAAACTTTAATTTAGTTAGCGAACCATTCTCGCAAGGGTGAGTACAAATGAGCAGATGTGATCAGGTCGGGTTAGGTCTAAAAATTGTTTTCCTTGGTCGGAATTTTGAATTTTAAATATTCGATATCAGTTCTCAAAAAAATATCTTTAAAAAGTTTCACAGTTAAAATTTCACGAAAATTGAGTGATATTTATATTCTTTATCTTGAATCACAAAATTTTAAAAATCTAAGCTCAGATTCGGATTCAACAACCCCAAAAACCCATAGAATACGATTCCCTATAATTATCTCCCCGAGCAACCCTCCGTTCTGAAAGGACACGCTTAGTAACGCTTTACACGCCAAGTAAAAGAGAAAAGATTAAAGAGAGAAGAGAGAAATCGCCGCTATGCGATCGCCTAGGGCTAGCTACTTCGGCGAGATCCAAATTTAGCGACTCGCCGATCTTCTAAAATAAAAGTCGAAGCGTAATCGTCGCGTTATTTCGTTGCGTGTGCAGCCGGAACAACTGACGGTCGCTGTCGAAATAAGCAACATCGTATTCTCGGCAATCTTCGCGGTGGAGATGTTGCTTAAGATAATAGCGGAAGGCCCGTTCGGTTACATCAGCAACGGCTTCAACGTCTTCGACGGTATCGTCGTCGTTCTAAGGTAGAATAACTCTTTTTCTGAAATGTCGCCTTGTTTGCTGGTATTTATTCTCACTTATCGCCATCATCGCATTAACAGTGTCATTCTGAACGTTGATGTCGCAAAATACACTGCAAATCCAAGTGTGTAATAAGTACACATTCATGTAAAAGTACTCATATGGTTTGGAAGTAACTCGTTACTTGTAACGAAATTACAGTTACAGTTACATTTTTTTGATAACTGTAACCTTGCTTAGTTACTTTTTCCCATCTGTAATTGCAACTTAACTTAGTTACTTACTTTTAGTAACTTGTAACTTTTTTAACAATTACTTTAATAATTACTTGGTGAACATAAAATTAAATTAAAATGGTATAGTAATCGTATATTAATTTAATAAATTTATCAAGCACACATATGTAGTATTTATGGAGTACGTGAATAAATTCTTTTACCTCTAAAAGAAACTATCATTAAATTTTTATTATATTAAGTACAGATTTGAGATTTGTTAAGTGGATAGATTAATTAATATGATAGAT